TGTCTACCTCCTCTTGCTGTAACAGTTACAGGGACACTGTCTACCTCTTTGTGCTATAACAGTTATAGAGATACTGTCTACACATCAAGGAAGGTTGTATTAAGAAGAAACACTTTAACCACATGTAGTACATAGCCTTCAGTCCTAGTATTGGAGACAATAGCTAGGAGGACAGTAGGTTGGAGGCCATGGTGGACCAGTCTCCAAATTCCAAGCCATGATGAGACATGTGTTTTTTTTTTTAAAGTCCTCATTGAATAATCTAAGAATTGATTTCACTTTGGTACCCTCTCTCACCTTTATGAAAAGCCAATCAAACATACGCTACCAAGGACTATTTATTCTTAAGATAAAAAAAGGGTCTTTCTCCTGGCTTATTTTTCACTGCCTTCATGTTAACCAGAACCACACACACTTTGAAGGACATGAGAACCCATATACCCATGGTAGGTAAGTACAATATGGCACATAAATACTAAGTATCGCTTTTGAAAAAGACTTGGGTTTAGTTTTAACATTCTCACCTTTTAGCTGGCTGTGGAACTGCAGGAGTCTGTTTTAACTTATAAAATGAATAAAGCAGAGAGTAAGTTCAAAATGCTTTTACTATTGTAGATTTGGACAGAAAAATTCTGTAAAGATCTTTAAATATTAAAGCTGAGTAAGAGCATAGAGTCCATTTGGTTCGGTACCATAATTTTATAAATGAGTGAAATCAGATCAGAAGAAGTCAGAGGTATCTAGAACAGCAGCTCTCAGCCTTCCCAATGCTACGGCCCTTTACTACAGTTTCTCTTGCCGCCGTGATCCTCAATCATAACATTGTTTTCATTGCTGCTTCAGAGCTGTAATTTTGCTACTGTTATGACTTGTAATGTAAATATCTGATATGCGGGATATCTGATATGCCAGGGCTGTGAAAGGGTCATGTGACCCCCTCAGGGTGTCATGACCCACAGGTTGAGAAGTGCCAATCTAGATGGTCATAGTGTTGGCAGCAGAAACCCATGGGTTCCTCTGATATTAGAGACCGAACAGAACTAAAGGTGTCCTTACATCCTTATGCTCTTGACAGTTTTAGTTTTATCTTGTTAAAGATATGTCAAGAGTAAATACTTCTTAGCTATACTGTGGAGAAATAATTTCTTTGAGAAACTCTTTTCTCTTTCCAAGATTTTGTGTTGGTTTTAAACTTTGTATCTAGTTGTAGGCAGTGTCCTAGTGTTTATCCCAGCAGCACAGCAGACTATGTGTTTTCTTTGTCTCCACTGTATGGTTGCATAACAACTTTGGTTGAACTTTGTCTTTCACAGTTAAAAACATAAACTTCAATAAATATGTGTTCTGTTTCCTAGATGTCTCCTGAAGAAACAGTTTGTAAATACTGTGGTGTCAGCTATCTAATTCTTCATGAATTTAAGGCTATGGAAGAAAAACTGAAAGCAGTGCAAGAAGAAATGAAATTTTATCAAGGAAGTGTAGAACGAGAAAAGAGACTTCAAGAAAAGCTGCAGTCTCTTAGCCAGGAGTTTGAACAGTACAAAACTGACAGCGAGTCCAAGAAGGAAAGGTCAGAGTATGTTTCCTATCTCTTAGTTTTAAGGCAAACAGTAGATTTTGGTGGCATGGGTCTATGCCTGTAATTCCAGTAGTCGGGCCTGGGGCAGAAGCACTGAGAATTCCAGGCCAGCTATATATTTTCTGTATCCTTTACTGTGCCTTTGTTTACCTTTATTATAAATAAATTTCTGCTACATTTGTGGCTTAGTATTTTTGATAGATATTTAATAATAAATAAAATAGTGTATTCGGTGGCTTTGCCACTTACATACATGTATGCACTGGGATTGTTGTACATTAATGCACATATCTTGATCTTTCTGGGGCAATGGTTTTTGGTTTTTTGCTTTTTTTTTAATTTTACAGATATACCATTATTTATCATTTCACTTTTGAATATCAATACTATTTCTATTTATTATTATAGGTACTATTTATACTTATATGCCTTTGAACATATGCTTTTCCATAGAATAAGTTCTCAGAAACAAAAATAACAAAAGTAAATTCCAGTTTACAATTTTGATGATTATTAAATCAAAATGTCCTTTGAGAAGACAGCATTAATTATGTTTGATCAAGTATTTAGAAATTGTCTATCTTTGACACCTTTTAAATATCAACATCCTTTTTTTAGTCTCCTGCATGAAAAAAAGTTTCCTCCTGGATATTTAGCTTATATTTCTTTTTTGTTATTGAAAGAGAGCCTTTTTAAAAAAAAATGTGGAGATTGGATATTTCTTCTTCCATTGATTACCTGCACACATAAAGTTTCCAGTTTTCTATTGGGTCATGTGTTTACTTACAAGAGTTTTGTTGTTTTGAGGGAGGGTCTCATGTAGCAAAGGATGATCTTGAACTTCTGATTCTCCTGCCTCTACTTTCCAGTGCTGACATGTGTCACCACACCAGGTTTATGTGGTTCTGGGGAATCGAACCCAAGGCTCTGTGTATGCTAGGCAAGCACTCTACCAACTACTTTTATCTCCAATCTATGGAGTTTCTAATCGAACACTGTTCTTATACTTTATATGTGTTAATGATTTCTCATGGTTGCTTATCTTTTTGCCTTGTTGTACATTTTTTGTTTTTAAAAATTCCATACTGTACCAAGTTCTGCCAAGGTTCTGTGCCATGATACACAGCCTCAGCACAAAGGAGTTCATTGGAAGAACATACAATGGTAACCTATTGAAATAAAGGAAAATTCAGGTCCTTTGACTTTGTAAAGGACGGGAAACAGATCCTGTTTAAGTCTTTTTGCCTCCACCCCACTCTCCTTCCTTGTACCATTCTCTTCACGTCTGAGCGTGCATTAGTGTCTCATTAGTTTCTTTTGAGTTCATCCTGATCCCCACCTCTGTAGCCTGAGAAAGGAAAGAGTCTTGGTCATCAGTTCTATGAAGACTTTTATAACAAAGGAAGAGAGAGATCACTAAGAGAAATTAGATTTTTGTTATCAGAAGGGGAAATGTAAATCTGATAAGTAAAACATCCAGTACTAGAAAGAAAAATAGCAACAATCCCAATTTAAAACTACAAGGGAAAAAATGGTATGGTATTATTTTATAGTATTGCTTTAGAGTTAGCCATTTGGTCTATTTGCAGTGAATATACATATACATATATATATATGATGTGAGGTAAAACATAAGATTTTACATGTATATATATATTATATATTTGTTTTCCAGATATCTACTTTGTTATTCTGACATCTTTGATTAAATATGTCCTCCTTTGTCCCCTAATTTGAATTGCAGCTGAAGTATTTCTAGTTTAATTTGGACCCTCTGTTTGTGCTAGTGATTCACTACCTGCCAATCATGCAGCATCATACTTCACTGCTTTATCTTTAGGGGATCCTTACTGCAATACTTTTCTGGACAAGTCTCCCCTTTCTCAGTGTAGTGTGTCTCCTAGAATTCTAGAATCAGATATCAGATTTTATGTTAAGATTTAGACTTGGGCTGCATTTACTTTCTTAGAGTAATTAGGTAACTTCAGATTTCATATTTTTATAAAAATCTTCCCATTTCCCCTCTAATTATTCAGCTGTTATTAAAACTGTTCAACAGAATCTTACAGTTTTTATACATTTGCTTAATTCTTGTCAATAAAAACTTATATTTACACATTTGTATGTAATTATTGTTGCTATGGGGGAATGAGATATTTTTCTTCATAATGTGTTCTAATATTTCTGAATGGAAGTAATTTTTATACATTGATTACATACATATCTTGCTCCTTTGCTTGGTTTTATTAGCTGTATGTTTTTCAGTTGGTTTTCTTGAAGATATATAATATGCATAAAACCCCATCACATGATATCTAATGCGATCTTTCTTTGATTTCATCACTCTTCCTCCCTACCCCTCCCTCTGGCTTCATTAAGCTGAACTGGTACAGGTGAGTACTAAACTCGAAGGTGCACGTGTCTTCCTTCTCATCCAGTGGGAACTTGTCTGCTGTGTTCCTGTGCAAAAGATTTTTAAAGATTCTGTTTATCAAATGAGAAATTATTCTGTTCCTTGCTTCTTTAAAGTTTAAATCAAGAATGATTACTGCGCTTTAGTGAGTGCTATTTGTTCCTCTCCCTTATGTATGTTGGAGTAATCATGTGATCTCCCCCTATATGACAGTTAGTGTTTTAGGGCTTTTGTTTTTGTCAACTTGAAGATAAAAGAGGAAACTAAAACTGAGAAGATGTTCCCATCACAATGGTTTGTTAGGCAAGTCTCTTAGGCAGTTTCTGATGATGGATGAGGGAGAATGCAGCCCGAGGTGGGTGGTGCCACTCCAGAGCAGATGGTCCTGGGTGGTGTGAGAAAGCAGGCTGAGCAAGCAGTGAACATGAGTGAGCCTTTGTGGCCTCTGCTTCAGTGCTTGCTTGCAGGTTCCTGCCTTGAGTTCCTGCCCTGACTTCCCTTCATAATGGACTAAACTATAAACTGTAAGCTGAAATAAAACCTTTTCTTCCCCAAGTTGCTTTTTTGTCATGGTCTTCATCACAGGAATAGAAAGCAAACTAGAACTGTGTGTTTTACAGTATCTCCTATAGCCCATGTTGGCTTCATTATGTAAACCAAGCATGACTTTGAACTCCTGATCTTCCTTCTGCCTCCCATGCCTGGTTTTAATTTGTTAGTGCAGTAAATAAAAACATGTTTCCTAATAAGAAGCTATACTTATATTTTTAACAAAAAGCATTTTGATTTGGCATATTTCAGGATTTTTGAAATTTTGTGTGTTTACCCTTTGTATATTACATATACATATACATGTGTGTGTATGTAATATGTGTATATATATAAGTTTATGTGGTGCTGGGGACAATTTGCATATACACAAATATATATAGAATATGTTTTTATTAAATATTATATATATATATATATATATATATATATATATATATATATAAATTGTCATAGCTATAAGTACTCTGTACTAGTACTTTCTGAGCACAATCACTTAGATATATGCATTTCTGTGAGCATAGTAAGTGTAATAGCATCACTTTCCATGAAAGCTAAATTGCAAGTTAAAAAACAAATATATAATACTGAGCATGGTAGCACATGCCTTTAATCCAAGTGCAAGTGGGGGATGCAGTGAAACTACCAAACTAGGGGACTAAACTGCTAAGGCTATCTCAAAGCTGCAAAGAACAGCAAAAGCCTGGCCAGTTTTAAGGAGATGTTGTGGCAGTGGTGTGTGTGTGTGTGTGTGTGTGTGTGTGTGTGTGTGTGTGTGTGTGAGAGAGAGAGAGAGAGAGAGAGAGAGAGAGAGAGAATATATGGTGATGGTGGTGGTGGTAGTATGTGAGCCAGAAGAGCCTGGAGACTAGCATGAGGACTTTGATTTGTTGCAGGCTTGTTTGCGTTCATCAGGAGCTCGATGCCCAATTGCTGGAGGTAGTAGGGAGCAGATAAGAGAAATAATGGGTTTTCCTTACAAACAGAAATCAGCTTTACAAGATTTCTGAGGAGTGCTGAGTTTAGGTAGCAATCCTTCTGTTGACTGGGTCAGAGTACAGAGCTGAGCCCAGACTATCCTTTAGGACATCAGCAGCAACTATTTTAGAGCACCACGTGGGTCCTAACACTCAGCACTAGGGAGGCAAGGCAGGCAAATCTCTGTGAGTTTGAAGCCAATCTGGTCCTGTATAGTGGATTCTAGTATACCCAGGGCTATAGAGAGAGACCTTGAACACACCCCCCCCCCATAATGTAAGGTAATTGCTTATGCTAGTAGGGATGTCTAAAAGTTCATGAATAACTTTGTTTTTCTGAGAGAGTGCTGACACACTTTTCTAGTATTTTAAATAGTTTTGCTAATGTATTTAAAGGTGAAGCTGTTCTATAGCTTTCTCATGGTATAGAGATGAGCTTCTGTTACACTCTTATAAGATACATGCACTGTGTAGCCCAGGCAGCCCTTAAAATGGCAGTTGCCTGCCTCGACCAACCCAGGAATTAGCAGGCCTGTACCACCATGCAGTCTGCACCAGACCTACTAACTAATTCATGAATTGCCTGTACCCATTTAGTAGAAGACTGTCGTCTTTGGGTAGAAGGTCTATGATGGCCCATTTTGTTTCCTCCACCATTACTGCCTTTTATTGACCTTTAGCCCCTTCTTATGTCAATTTTAGAAATTGTTATTTTTCTAAGCAGTTATACATACTAGTATTTCAAGTTCCGTTGTGTTTAGCAATATTATAGCTTCTTTTAAATTTTCTTTTTTTAAAAAACAAAAATTGAATTTAGGGCTTTGTGAATGCCAGGCAAGTGTTTTACCACTGAGCCTAGTTTTGGTTATGTGCTCAATTTATAAACAGTTTGTTTATTTTCTTATTGTTGAGTTTCAATAGTTGGTTAGATATTTTAGGAAATGTAGAGGCCCTATATCAGATGTATGTTTTGCTATTATTTTCTGGCAATATGTGGCTTGTCTTCACTTTCTATCTTGCTTTTGTGAATAGAAGTTTTTAATTTAATGAAG